GCGGAGTTCCCCCAGGTGAGGCGGGAGTCAGGGCAGAGCTGGGACGGGGCTCGGGGGTCACAAACCAGGGGCATCCCAGCCTGCAGCCCCCGGAGCCAGGCAGGGCTGCAGCTCCTTCCAGCGCCCCGTTAGCATGGCCGGTGATGGGCAAAGTGGCACAGGGTACAGCTGGGCCATCCAGCCCCGCATCCCTACCGGGTTCATCCTCCAGGGCCACCTCAGCAGGTCTGGTCCCCCAGGGCAGCCCCGAGGGCCTGCAGGCGAGGCGGCACTTTGCAGCAGCTTTTGTTCCCCGTTTTCCGTTCCTCGGGAGATGCAGCTCGTCACTCACCCCGCTGGTTTTTAGCGGCTGGGGGTCATTTGGCAAAAGGGCAGTTGCCTTTAACGACACGCCTGTGGATGGGAAGAGGTTGGAGCTCCGTGCCCCAAGCTGGCTCCCGTACAGCCGCTGCCGTCTAATTATAGAGGAGTCAGCTGCCAGCAAACTGATCCATCCTAAATCCAGGCTTAAGTATGAGCTGCGCTTGCCCCTCCAACTCCCCCCGCTTCGATACGGGGTGAATCTTCCACCGGAGCGATCCCCTTGCTGCCTGCCTGGGTGGCTGTGGGAGCTGCCCTTTCCCTGCCCTCCTGTGCCGCTCCTGGGCCATCTCTGCTGCTCTACGAACGCTCAGGTCGTGGACCAAAACCGCCAGAAAACCTCTGATCTCAGCCCAAGGGGTAGCCGGAGCTTACCTTCCCCAGCCCGCCCTGCGCCGGCCTCTGCTCGCGCTGCCGGGAGGTGGAGGCAGCCTGGTCCTGCCCGCGGGGTCCGTAGGGGACAACCAGGAGCCATTTCTTCTTCCTCCAAGCCCTGTACAGGGAGCCTGGCTCGTCGGGCATGGGGAGAGGAGGCGTTTGCAGCGTGGGCCGGGAGGTTTCAGCAGAAGCTGGAGGCTCATTCCCAGATATCTTTTGCAGAAGCGGTGCGGTAGGACACATCTCTCAAGTCAGAGAAAGAGAAAGGCATCCCGTGCCAAGAGGGAGACGTGCCGGGGGTGGCAGCGTGGTGACCCCCATGGGGCATTTGCTTCGGAGAGGCTATGATGGGCGGCCGGAGCAGCTCCAGGTCCTGAGGAGAAGAGACTGGGCAAACATAGAATCCCAGAATGGTTTGGGTTGGCAAAGCCCTTGAAGCTCCCCCAGCCCAACCGCTCCCCTACCCCTGCCATCCCACCCCCAAACCCTGGCCCTCAGCACCGCCTCTGCCCGGCTGTTAAATCCCCCCAGGGCTGGGGACTCGACCCCTTCCCTGGGCAGCCCCTTCCAGTGCCTGACAGCCCCAAGGGGAAGGAATTTTTCTGAAGCCAACATCAGCTGGTCCAAGCACCAGGCAGCTCTTGGGCAAATGGCCGAGCTCCCCCCAGCTCCTGCTGCTTGGCTTCAGGATGGGGCTCAGCTGGGGACTCCAGGATTTGGGATGGGCGGCTCCTCAGGCACCCTCCACCCTCCCCGGCAGTGCCAGGAAGAGAGGGGCAGCCGGAGACTCTGTCCGTGACCCAGCACGTCGAAATGGGGACAGCACGAGGGAAGGCGGGAGCGGGTGGAGGATGAGGAGTGGCACGAGCTGACAGGGATGTGGCCGAACTGAACCGCAAAACCGCTGCGGAGGAGGGAAATGGAGAAACGAATCGGGTGGATCTCTGGGAATGCTGGTGAGCCGGTTTTGGGGGAAAGCAGCCAAATGCCTGCTGGAGCCCCAGGGTCTCTTTCCCCCTGTAGAAGCCAAGAGATGAAAGCTGAGAGTGAGAAGGGCCATCGGTGGGGGGCAAGCGAGAGGATCCAGTCCCTCGGCTGCTGCCCGAGCTGGGGATGGTGTCGCGCAGGGACATACCCTTTCCCCATCAGGGGGGACAGGCTTTTCTCCAGGCGTGGTGTGGCCAACACCAATACCAGTTAGCCAAACCTCAAGAGAAAGCCTAAGGAGTGTCAACCCAATGCTGCCGGCACGGGGACCATTGCCTCTGCTCCCAGCCCATGTCCCTGCTCCCAACCTGTGCCCTTCTGTGTCCCTGCAGCAGCATCCGCAGGGGGCTGAGGTCCCCCCTGGGGACAGTGATGCCCTCTGGGACTCCGCTGGCTATGGCTGTGAGGATGATGATGAGCTGAGCGGGAGGAGGTGGAGGCCAAGTGCCATCAGCCCCATCCTGCATTCCAGCCCCAAGCTGAGGC